TCTAGTCTAGTCTAGTCTAGTCTAGTCTAGTCTAGTCTAGTCTAGTCTATTTTCTAGTCTATTCTATATTCTATTCTATTTCTAATTCTATGCTATTCCATATTTTCTATTCTATTCTATTTCTATTCCATTTCTAATTCTATGTTATTCTATCCTTATCCTTATCATCCTTATCCTTATCCTATTCTACTCTACTCTTATCCTACCCTACCCTCCTCTACCTTACCCTACCCTATTCTACTGTATGGTAAATCATGGGGGAACATCTGATCTAGTCATAAAGTAATTGAATAGGATCAGGAAGAGCCAGACTCAATCCTTAACAAAAACTCATTTTAGTATAAGCATGTGATGACAAGCCAAAACTTGAAAGAAACAGGCCATTTTGTTTCTGCATATTATTTTTTTCATATAAAACCTCAACAGTTTGAGAAAGAGCCTATGAGAAGTAGACTCACTCTAGGAAGGGTTGAGCATGTGGTGGCACAGTGGTTAGAATGCAGCACTGAAGGCTACTTTTATTTATTTATTTATTTTATTTTATTTTGTCAAGCGATTATTAGATAACAGGTATAAGTATAAACATGATTATGAATACATGAAATGGATACGAATAAGAAAAAAAAAGAAACAATAGGACAGGGACGGTAGGCACGTTGGTGCGCTTATGCACGCCCCCTACAGACCTCTTAGGAAAGGGTTGAGGTCAATAGTAGACAGTCTAAGGTTAAAGTTTTTGGGGTTTGGGGAAGAAACCACAGAGTCAGGTAGAGTATTTCAGACATTGACCACTCTGTTGCTGAAGTCGTATTTCCTGCAATCAAGTTTGGTGCAGTTTACCCTGAGTTTGTATCTATTGTCTGCTCTTGTATTGTTGTGGTTGAAGCTGAAGTATTTATTGACAGATAGGACATTGCAATATATAATTTTATGTACTATACTTAGATCAAACCGAAGGCAGCGTAGTTCTAGGTTGTCTAGGTCTAAAATTTCAAGTCTGGTGGTATAAGGTATTCTGCTACGAGTAGAGGAGTGGAGAACTCTTCTTGTGAAATATTTCTGGACTTTCTCAATTGTATTAATATCCGATATGTAATGCGGATTCCAGACTGATGAGCTGTATTCAAGTATTGGTCTAGCAAATGTTTTGTATGCTCTAGTTAGTAGAGTTATATTACTGGAGAAAAAGCTATGCAGGATTAGGTTTACAACTCTTAATGCCTTTTTGGCTATGTAGTTACAGTGGGCTCTAGCACTTAGATCATTTGATCCGCTGACTGCTGGCAATTTGGCGGTTCAATTCCCACCAGGCTCAAAGTTGACTCAGCCTTCCATCCATCTGAGGTGGGTCAAATGAGGACCCAGATTGTTGGAGGCAAGAGGCTGACTCTTACTGCTTTGAGAAGGCTGTAAAGCACTGTGAAGCAGTATATAAGTTTCAATGCTATTGAATGTGTGTGTGTGTGTGTGTGTGTGTGTGTGTACATATACATATATACACACACAAAGAAAGGGAGAGAGAGAATACCATTCTAGAATATAAAGCAAACAGTGCAAAAAGAATACACTCTATACACCTAGCAGGTGAGTATTTGCAGCAGCTTCGTGCATTAACAGATTTGAGCAAGGATCCACCCTAAAAAAGGTCATTGCTGGCATAACATCAAAGAAATAATATTTCGGGTATATTTAGTCTTCAAGCATATTTACTTGCAAAGAAGACTCCATTCTGAATGCCTATCGGTCTGCTGTTCCCTTAGAGTGACATGTGAGAAATGGAAAAATAGCCTATTGGACGATCAGAGTCCATAGATCTCAGAATGATAGTAGCCCCCCTCCCAAAAGCTACATGAACGAAACATG